GGCAATGAATGTATAAATGCGCTTTACACAATTGATGTATGTATGGATTGTGATAAGAGTTGTATGAGCCCCTAATAAAACGATTAAAAAAAAAAAGAATAGGAAAGTGTTCAAAATGGGAAGGGGGATTTGTTTTCAGAGGTGGGAGAACATAATGCCAACACAGTATTTACAGATGAGTAAATACTGGAAGTGTATGAAGATGTTCTGTGCTTTTTTAATCTTGTAAGACACACAGAAAACGTGCATAGCTTTTCAAGATCGAAGAGCACCTTTTGATGACTGTCTACGTCCCCAGTGAGCCGCCTCTCTTTGCTCTTGTCATTCTTTTGCAGACCTCAAGTCCCATAGAAGAAGCCTCAGGAGGACATCCAGGTGCACTCGCCCAACCTCACGGTTCTGGTAAGAAGTCCTCAGGGCCCCTGCCTTTGAGGATCGCTTGTCTTCCCTTTCCTCGGATCACAGATGCTCATATCAAGATGAGAGCACTGAGGCTGAGTGGTGTCCCCTCAGAATGAATCTCTTCCCCCTCGCCCACCGAGGGCCTGACCTCATGCATCCCACCCTTGGCATTTCACAGCATAAATTACAGCCTTTCTTCTGTCTTTTGTTTCCCACCAGAGTCTGGGCTCTTAGCTCATTGAATTTCTCTGAACCTGACCTGAGGAATCCGTGCACTCACACAGCCTGTTGTTGACAGAATAGAAACTAGGACTAGGACTGGGTTCCCGTGACTGTCTCCACCGTCGTCTCCCTCTGCTTGCTTAGCCTGTTAGCAAAGCCTTAAGAGCAGTCAGCAGTACAGCACAACACCTTGGAAGGCCTTGGGTGCTCTCAGCTTCATGACTAGTTAGTTAGCCTGTGGTCAGTAGCCAGAGGTGTGGTCCATGACAAGGTAGAGTAATCCCACGTTACCCACCACCATGCTAGGCCACTGCCCAGTCCTGCCGCGCCACTCCTGATCAGGCAGGGCGGGCTCCTGTTGCACAGCTCTGGCATCCAGCCCTCTCCTGGCCCCTGGCCCCTCCAGACGGAAGAACAGTTAGCCAGCTGAAAGCTGTCACATACACACCAACATTCTCAGGATGATGTGCACTAAAAGTCTGCAGAACTAGGGCTTGGGCCACCTGTCTCTTCCTGCCAGCCTCCCCGCATCAACTGTCTGTGTGGGTCTGGCTGGCATGTGGCTTCTTTGTGTCTGGAGGGCGGCTGGGTGGGATGGAGAAGCTGTAGGGCAGGCAAATCAGAAAACCAGGGCAGTCAGAACCAGATGCCCAAGGCACGTGGAGAAGACTGTGGTCCCTGCTCTGTCCCTCCTTCCAGCGGACTCTGCCTCCTTTCCACTCAAACCCACTGCGTGTAGGCAATTCCAGCGCAGAGGTTCTGATAGATCCCTTCCACACCAGGGCACGGGATAGGGGCCTCTGATCAGCTCCAGGCCCAACTCTGCAGGGATCCTTGAGCAAGTCGGTCCCCCCAGGACCTGCCTCTCCCACCCCTCCAGTCCCCCACTTCCCCTTCCCCTGTAGAAATTGAAGCAGCCTCATTCCAAAATCCCTTAAGTCCCCTCCAGCACTAAGTTGCTCTTACTGGTTATGCTTTCTAGGCGTTTTGTGTTTTAAACAAGGGTCACAGGAAGAGGAGCCCCTAGGCCTGTTCTCTGCTGTGGTGTAGAAGCCTTGGAACTGTGGACAGGGACACTGTGCAGGAGGGCTTTCTCAGGCCCAGTAGACTGCCTAGACCAGGGGTGGGGGAGCTGTGGGCAGTGGAAACAGGGCCACTTGTCTCCTCTAGAAACTAGGGCAGCCAACAGTGGGGAGGAAAGTGGAGCCTGTCCTGGCCTGGCCAGAGGCTTGCAGAGTGTCTTTCCTCGGCTGGAGAGAGGGAACTTCAGCCACAAACTGCCCAGGAGAACAGAAACGCTTGCATTGGCTCCCAGCCCCACCCTGACTGTGGGTGGGGGTCCAAGGCTGAGAGGCACAGTCTGCACTGTGGACAACAATTCTTGCTTTTGACACCCCCTGGTGTCTGCTGACAGGAAATGGGTCAGTTGAAAAGAGAAAACAACATTTGTTTCTAGCAATAACTGTGCTGAAAGGCCAGTGAATGGCTAGATTGTCGTCAGAATACAGTCCTCCCCTCTGACCAAGCAAAATAAACTTTCAGGGCAAAACCCTGCTCTCTGGCACTCCGCCCAACCCCAATGGTGTTTACCCAGAGGGCCCTCATTCTGCCCGCAGACCAGCGGGTCGTCTGGGGATGACAACCATCATCCGGGTTGGCAAAACGGCAGAGTACGGTGACATCTACTCTGTCCTTGCAGGCGAGGAAAAGCTCCATGTGGTGGGAAGAAGCCTTGGAAAGAATGAGGAAATGTCTCAATCTCAGTTCCAACCTATTCAAAGGTATGGACTGATGTTAATGATTGTTTCCCACCCAAAGAAACCCTGGGAATGGAACTCCTGCCCCAGCCCTCCCTGTTGCTTGCTGCCGAGTGAACCTCCGCGTCGGAGGAGAAGCAGCTCTGTGCAGCTCAGCTCTGCTGGGACTTGTCCGCAGGGCTGTGAGGGGCAGTCCAGTCCTTAGAAATAGATCCTGACTGCCTTCTGACTGGGTCTCTTCAGCCAAGTTTCTCAATCTTCTTATTCTCTACCCCGTCTTTAAAACAGGGGTGCGAGTCTTTACTAAGAATAGTGGCAGAGAGATTAAGATTAATAATAGGACTCCTGGCATTTCCCAGGGACCTGAAGACTTGTATTCACACCAAAGCAGGCACCTGAGTGTTGACAGCAGCTTTACGAATAATCACTCACACTGGAAACGATCCAGACGTCCTTCAACCCAGGACCGGGGAAGCTCTCTAAGAGATGTGGCAAAAGGGTCAGCAGATGGAGAGCCTCTTGGTCTGCATCCGCAGCCCCTGGCCATTCCCATGAGGGAGGTCAGACATAGCTCCACCCTCCAGGCTTTTTAGTATTCCTGACACCAACTGCCCCTCCCACTTTCTGCTCCCTGCTGGGTCCAATCATTCCCTGCCATGGCTGTGTACCACTCACAGGCCACCCTCACAGTTAGGGGCTGGTTAGGGAAGTAACAGGCTACATCTCAGGTTCAGAAATGCTCAGACAGGTTTTCAGTCAGGACAGCCTCTTCTCAGCCATGCTTGAAGGCAGGTCTGTCTCCGGTAAGTATGACAAGGCTCTTTTGGGCTGAAGATGCTCAGTCCCAGCTCCACTGAGTGACTGCCGGCAAGCCTCCTGCCTGAGGGCTCTGTTTTCTCACTGCCCAGCCTGGAAAGTGCACCACGCCGGTCTCCTGGTTTGCTCCTCCTGTTTCTCTGTCGCTGTGCCTTGCTCTCTCACCGTCTCCAGAGTTACAGCTTCATCGGTCTGCCTTCTGGGTTGAGGAGGTTCTAAGCGCAGGGGTCCTGGGTCCAAAGGACGCACTCCGCTCATCTCTTCTTCTTGGTGGCCATGTGGTCACCTTTCTCACCTCTAGGACGGCTCATGTTAAGCCTGGGAACTTGGGGAAACAGACTCCACAAGGATGTCGTCTACCTCATTTAAGTTCTTAGCAAACTGTTCAATTCGCTTCATGGGCCACAAACACTAGCCATTTGGTGGGACGTACACGCCTCGGGCTAGAGGGCCATATTAAGGACTTCATTGCACCAAAGGCTCAACAGCCAGTGATGAGCAGGTGACACAACTTGCTGGCTGAAAGCAAGGAGCACTTGAAGCACTTGCCAGTGTGGATTGCAAGTCACTGTAAAGAAAACAAAAATTCTCACAACTGGACCAATAGCATCATGATAAATAGAAAGGTTGATGTCAAGATTGTGTTTGCTTGGATCCTCATCAGCGCTCACGGAAGCAGCAGTCAAGGTTGTGAGAGAGCCCTGGAGAGGTTACCACTGGGGCATGTTGGACACAAAGTACACAGGCTCTGTGTGTGTGTGTGTGTGTGTGTGTGTTTATTTTTCACAAGTACTTGTAAAACTGCAATTCCCTTAAAATGAAAGCATTCCCTTTCCAAAGGGAACTATTGATGTAAGGGCCAGGCACAGTAGCCTTCCGATGCTCTTCCCCTCAAAGACGATTTTCTAAGCAAGTGGCCATGATTAGGCGAATGGTTTTACTGTCCCCTTTACTCCATGCAAGAGCCCTTCAAGGTCCATACCGTTACCTCCATTTTACCCATGAGAGAAACTTCAGAGTTTAAATTGTTTGTTTTTCTAAGTTTACCTAGTTTGTGACTGTATCAGGCAGCTACATTCTGCTACATAACGTAACAAACAGCCCCACATTTCAAAAAAAATCTTTTTATTGGGGGCTCATACAATCTTATCACAACCCTTGATAATTTGTAAATTATTATTTTGTCATATCATGCACTATCTGACGCAGCCCCACATTTTTTGTGACTTAAACATTTCGTTGTTGCTCATGCTCCCGGTCCACCAAGGACTGACTAGGGATGGTGTTCTTTATGTTACCTTCTATCAAAGACTCTCGGGAGAGAGACAGGCTTTCTGCCCCAGTAAAAAGCCACCGTCTTGGAAATGCACAGGGGCAGTTCTGTCCTGTGAGTCGGCATCGACTCAGTGGCAGTGACCAGAGACCCAGGCTGGGGGAGGCGCCTCTCTGCTTGTGCTGCCTTGATTATTACAGCAGGGAAAAGGGGACTTGGAAAATGACTTGCTGGCTCTAAAAGTTTCGCCCGCAAGTCCACATCACCTTCGTTTACATTTCATTTGTTAAAATCACATGATCACTTATGTAAATGAAGAGGATCAAAAAGTACTGCCCTACTATGTGTCTGGAAGGAGAACCAGAAACATGCCGATGAACAGTGCTAATAACAGTGACAAGTCAAATCCACATGTGTTCCTTTTGTACCATGGGACTCAGGATTGTAGCACGGACTCCAAAAGCAAGCTCCCTGCGTCAAGGTGATGCCGACTCAGAGAGCCTATGGGACACCAACTGCCCTCCCACTTTCTGCCCCTGTGAGTTTCCAAGACTGACAGACTCTTTACAGGAGTCGAAAGCCCCGTCTTTCTGCCAAGGAGCAGGATAGTGGATTCGAACTGCTGATCTTGGGGTTAGCAGCCCATCTCATAACCACTATGCCACAAGGGCTTCTTGTTGCAAGGACTAGAGAGGTATAAAAGCATGGAAGGATTTAGCAAGGGATCTGCCTTACAGTTAGTGTTTAATAAGTGTTGAAATTGAATCATAAATAATCGTTAAAGTTAAACAAGTCCTGCTTGTTCTCAGTATTTTTGCTGCCCATTTTTGAGCTCCATCCTCTCTGGCTTCTCTTGAGAGTCTGTGCCGGCAGCTTGCTCACAGGTGCGAAGGCCCCATGGCTGTGCCTCTTGCACCAGCCTTCCTCTCCCAGCGAAGTTCCTGTGCCCCGCTGAGTGCCTCACTGAAGAGGCCTGGGCTGTGGCCAGAACGGGATGATTTATTCATTCTCTGGAGAGGAATCCGAGGTCTGGAGCGAGGCCCAGGCTTGCCTGGGAGCATGCGGCTGGTTAGTGGTGAGTCGGGTCTCCTTGCTGCCACTTGCTGCCACCTCGCACACTGGGCTGGTAACCAAGGCCTGTTAGCAAGCGTGTGCACTTTCTACACTTTCCAATGTCTCACTTTCTGTCTTCCAGTGCTGAAGGCGAACAAGAAGACACTTCAAAGGAGCCGCCAAAGGATCGAAAAGACAAAGACATGTACGGCCACTGAAGAAGTGCCCAAGGAGGCTATGTAACGTGTTGGTTTTAGTGGAATACTATTTCCTTGTTTGTGAGGGCCACGCTCTTCCTGTTTTTATGTGGACATGACGTGTGTCTTCGTCCAACTAAAAGCCGTTCTTCAATTGAAGATGTGGTTTACAATGGCAAACATCTTACAAGCAAGGAAATAGAGTGATGACAGTATGTCTACACCTGCATTTCCCACACGAGTTCTCCATTTCCCCCGTATGTATCTCTTCATCCATTGAGATAGGTTCTTTCTCTCTGCTGAGGTAGGTTTTCAAGTGAATATTCTTTTAAGGTAGTCAAATTCTGGCTTATTGCCAAGAGAGGATTTTGTCAGGAGCACACTGAAAAGGTGTGATTTTCCAAAAACAGCATCTCTCGATTGTTCTCTGTCCTCAGATCACTGTCGGATATTCAAGACCTGTCTAGCATCTCCAATGAACGAGATGGCTCATTTAAAGAAGCTTCATGTAAAACACCCAAAACACGCCACGCGCCTACCAGTGTCAGCACGCCACTCAGCCCAGGTAAGAAATGACCCGCAGGAAGGAGCAGTGTTCGGGAAAAGGAGCAGACAGCCTCTGCCCCGTTGGCGCCCCACGGGATGTGAGACTGGGGGACAGTTGTTGCTAGCTTAGTAGGGTGGTAGTGGTGGTGACTAAGCTGCTGTTAGAAGGCTTTAACTGCAGTGGTAGAGACTTATAAATGCAAAGTCTGCTCAGTACTCTAACCACCACTGCATTTAAGGCAAAAACATTGGATTCTCTAGTGTTTGCTCATGAAGACACTACCTTGCATTTAAACCACTTTAATTCTGAGTCCTGCATTAGCACACCAAAAAACCAAAACACCAAACCC